ATAAATTCAGTAAATTTATGGGATACAAAATCAAACATACCAAAATCAGTTGCATTTTTACAAACTAACGATGAACTATCAAGAAGAGAAATTTTAAAAACACCAATCCCATTTGCAATTGCATTGCAAATTAACACGATACTTAAGAAAATGAAACCAAGAAGGTGAAAGATCTGTGCAAGGAAAACTGTAGGACACGGATGAAAGAAACGGAAGAGGAAACAAACAAATGGAAACATACTCCATGCTCATGAACTGAATTAATATTGGTAGAATACTTAAACTACCCAATCAGCCCACAGATTCAACATAATAATCCTATGAACATTTTTCACAGAAGTAGAACAATCCTAAAATTCACATGGAACCACAAAACACGTTGGAAAAAAGAACAAAGTTGGAATCATCACACCACCTAATTTCAAACTATATTACAAAGGTGTAATCATCAAAACAGCATAGTATTGACATAAAAACAGACGCTAGAAATAGAGCAAAATGATAAAAATATAAATTTTACGGTGTTATTTAATTTTTGGTATTATTAATAAATACTATAAGCCCTGGCTGGTGTAGCTCAGTGGATTGAGCACAGGCCTGCGAACCAGAGGATCGTGGTTCGATTCCCAGTCAGGGCATATTCCTGGGTTGCAGACTGGTTTCCCTGCAGGCCAGTTCCCAGCAGGGGACGCACAAAAGGCAACCATACATTGATGTTTCTCTCCCTCTCTCCTTCCCCTCTAAAGATAAATAAATAAATAAAATCTTTAAAAAAATAAATAAATAAAATAAAATGGATTTTACTTTGTTTCCATTAAGAAAATAAATAAATACTATAGCCATCTCTAATACTCTTACACATTATTTTAGAGTTTCTAGCCAAGGCAATATGAAAAACGAAACTGAAAAAAGTAAAAAGAAATCATGACTTTCAGAAAATACATCCTATTTACAAGATAAAAAAAATTACTAAAGAAACAATTTGATTTTACAGTGGAGTCTAGCAAAGCAAGAAGATAAAAATATGCTACAAAACAACCAATACTTTTGTCATACCACAGCAATAACTAAGTTGAAAAAATAATACTTCCTAGATATAAAATTTCTATATTGTTATTTCTAACTGTATTACGATATAAATCCAAAGAAGTTGGACCCAATAAAGAACACACCAAGGCACATCATCATTAAGTTACCAAAGATTAAAGATAAGGAGAGATTCTTAAAAGCAGCAAGAGGAAAGAAAAGAGTTACCTACAAATGAGTACTCATAAGACTATCAGCTGATTTCTCTAAAGAAACTTCGCAGGCAAGAAGGATTTGGAAAGAAGTATTTGAAGTCATGAAAGGCAAAGAGTATCATCTAAGAATACTCTATCCAGTACAGCTATCATTTAGAATGGAAGGGCAGATAAAGTGCTTCCCAGATAAGGTCAAGTTAAAGGAGTTTATCATCACCAAGCCCTTATTATATGAAATGTTAAAGGGACTTATGTAAGAAATTAAAGAAGATCAAAAACTATGAACAGTAAAATAACAACAAACTCACAACAATCAACAAGTGAACCTAAAAAAAGAGAAAAGCAATGAAAACAAAAACCAAGCAAATAGAACGGGAACAGAATCAGAGAAATGGACATTACATGGAGGGTTTTCAGTGGGGAGGAGAGGAACAGGAGGGAGAAAATACAGGGAAAAAGAGTATAATTGGTAGGTCTAAAATAGATGGGAAGAGGTCAAAAATGGTATAAGAAACAGATAATTCAATGAACTTATAAGTAAAACCCATAGACATGAACTAAGGGGGACGTGGAATGCTGGAGGATTGCGGGTGCAGGGCAGAGGGGGGAAAAAGGGGAAAAATTGGGAAAACTGTTATAGCATAATCAATAAAATATACTTTAAAAAGAATAGGCACAAAATAGACGGGGGAGATTAAGAACAATATAGGAACAGTAGAAGCCAAGGAACATATATGTACGACCCATGGACTAAGGTGGGGGTGGGGGAAAGAGGATGGAAGGTTGTATGCAGGGTGGAGGGAAATAAAGGTGGGGGAATGGGACAACTGTAATATCATAGTCAATAAAATATATTAAAAATAAATTTAAAAATCTACAAAAAAAAGAATAGTATAGAAAATGGAGAAGCCAAAGAACTGATATGTACAACCCATGAACATGAACTGAGGGGGTAATTGCTGGAGGGAATGGAGATAATGGGCAAAGGGGGACAATGGGAAAAAAGTGGGACAAATGTAACAGCACAATCAATAAAATATACTTAATAAAAAGGAAAACAAAAAAATAAAAAATGTAATTTCAATGTAATCCAAGTAAAAAAAACTCCATAAAATTCTTTGTATAACTCTCAGTAAGATTACTCTAAACTGCATCAATGAAAAGTGCCCAAGAATAGCTAGAAAAGTTTTTTAAAATGAACATTGAATTACGTTATAAAGCTAAAGTAAATAGAACAGCATAATATTGTTGAAAAGTATTGTTTTACTTTCTCTTGGAGAAATTTCCAATAATTAACACTTTGCAAATCTTGTTTATTAACCTATCCCTTAGCTGTGTTATACCAGAATATTTAAAGGCAGATTAGAGATGCCATACTGTTTCACTTCAGCATGACTTCAGGATATATGCCAAACAGACAAAGATTTAAAAAAAACAAACCATAACTACAGACCCAGCAAAATTAACTAGTATCACATAATACCCAATTTGAAGTCTATTTTTCTCCAACTGTTTTAAAAATATTACATTTTGCTTAAATCAATCTCCAAACAAAGTTCACACATTGCATTTAAGTCATGTTTCTTAAGACTCTTGCAATCAATACAGTCAAAGAACATAAATGCATGACCCACAAATACAGAAAACAGTGTGAGGATGGCCAGCAAGGGGTGAGGGCAGGGAGCCAGTGAAAAAAGGGAGGGAAAACAGGGATATCCGTAATAATGTAAACAATAAAAAAGAAAAGAAATACAATTATAAAATATTTTTCTTTATATTTCAATACAATAAAACACCCCTAAATGCTTTTTAGTAAAAAAAAAAAGTCCATTTTCTTGTATCATTTATTTGTTCTTTTATTTAATGAACACTCTCCTACTTCTAGATTATTTTTAAAACAAATTCTACACATCTGCAAATGCATTTGTATGCATCACAGGAAAAAGAAGCACACTAAATTCTTTAACAGTATCTACTAAGGCAAATGTTCAAATTTCCTCACTTGTATGAAAAATACATTTTTATACTTAATTTGTATGAAACAGGATGCAAATAACATCCACACTTAGTATTTAGATAATAGTCTCTACAAGTACTGTTAAGCCCTGCCACACAACCACTTTTATTTCCCATTACAGCTATTTGTTGTAAAAACCAGGTGACACTTGTAATGAGGACCTCCCACATTTGACAGTTGGTATTGTTTAACTCGTTCCTCAATCTCCATATCTTGTTTAAAGCACTAATTGTATCTAGGGGCTGAATTAGATAGACTGAGGTTTAATTTGGAGGGCTGGGTAGAAACATTTTCAATGATGATGATGTCACACATATCCCATTACATCACATCACACTGGGAAGCACATGATAACTAATGCTTTACTTTGGTGATGTCAAGATTCATCTGCTGACACCAAACACAGATCATTATTGCCTAGGTCCACTGTTTCATCAGGGGTAGCAACACACTGATTCTTAAAATTCTAACTGCTTTTTTCAAATGAGGTATAACTGACATGCAACATTATATTAGTTTCAGGTATCGAACATAATGTTTCAATATGTATACAGATTGCAAAACGATCACCAGAATAAGTCTAAAGTCTAACATTTCAAAACTGGAATTCTTCGACAAAAACGAACATTCCCTCATCAACTATTTTGATACCTTATGAAATTGATACAAGAAAGGTAAATACTCCATACTTTTCCTTCAATTATCAATTTTCATAATGCTTAATAAACAAGCATCCTACAGTAATAGCCAATGGTTCCTTCTTAGATATCATTATGAACCCTTCATGTGTTCCTATATATTTCAGATGTTTCATTCTATTATAGAAGTTTTTCATGGGAATTTATGACAAAAAAGCGTTTTGGACTATTGGGAAAAGACAGACTGGTCAATAAGTGGTGTTGGGTCCATGAGCCCTTGGAATAAAGGCCATAGAGAAGTACACTAGTAAATGCATGGCCACAGGCTCTGTGAAACAAACAGCATATTTAGGACTTTAGGCTATTAAGATGACATCTCAATATCTACCAAAAATATTAAGAATATTAAATACATGCAAAATACATAGCAAATACCCCATAAATTATATGCATGGGTGTGTGTGCACATGTATATACATCTTCATGCATGTGTGCACAGTGATGTGCTATTACATGTCAAAAACTGGCTCCCTAAGGAAAAAGATTTACTCTGACCTGTAGTGTTTGCTGGTTTCCACTATGTAAACACTCCTCCGGTGGACGATTTCATGCCAATGTAATATCACTACATCCAGAGTTGGGGACAAAAGTGCATAACTGCGTCTCACTAGCCCTCCAGTATACCATTGAATAATATCCATATAGTCTATACACTACAAAACTTGCAGTTTTCTGTACATGTGAACATATGTGCTTATATACATGTGTCTGTGTATGTGTATGCATGTATAGAGAATCAAAATACCTAGGAAAAGTTCTGGAGAAATGGGTAACAACTGGTGTAGAGGAATCTACCCCAAACAATGGCATTAGGGTAAGAGGAGAAAGATCAAAGGAACTTTTGTCTTAACAGTCACTGAACTGTTCACCTGTTACTTATGCATTGGGTCAAGACGCAATAAAATTGTTTTTGCAATTTTTATGACCCATTCTATCACCAAGTATGTTCTCACTAACATTAAATTCCAGTATGATATAAACAACCAGCTATGTCAGATGTAATATTACACTAAGAAAACACCTTCTGAAAAATATGCAACTTACTTTGGCTTCAGTTTCTCCCCTGTGAAGAGTATAGAGATGATGGACAGCACTTTGTGATGAGGACCAAGGATGAGTCAGAATTTGGAAGACGTGAAAGTCGTGGCCAAGGGTATCTGTTGTGACTAGGAGCATTCCTGAAGGATATACCAAAAAAGAGGGTAAAAATAAAAACCATTATGTAAGTGGATGAAATATATTCACAAAGTACTCATCATGCTTTAAAAAATTATCAAAGAAAAAATTACCAAAGATAAAAGAAAGTATTCACAATAAAAAATTAAAACGGTATCTTTATCCTATGTAATACCAAACCCTAGTACTACATCGGGATAATATACAAGAGTAAGAATCCTAGATTCATGATGTTACCCTACAACTAGAATAAAAAAAGTTTTATATACCTGAATTTACAGAGTTCACAAGCATTTTACAGTAGCAAATTTGATCAAATGAATATGAAAATGACTTATTTCCATGTCAATTCCCACCATTTGCCATTTCTCAAAACCTGAATTTTAAGTTCCAATTTACCTATGAAAACAACTACCAATATCCTACTTCATCACCAGTTTATGGCTGGCTGCTACCCCAGCAGGATATTTATTTACTGAATTGCCTGCAATAGCGTTCACAGAGCCAAGTTTTTCATCCTGATGAGATGGAGCAGCTAAGAATTCTTTGCATAATCCTAAATCACAAAATTTTTCTGTTTTCTTATCAAAATCTCATAGTTTTTATTTTACATTTAGGTCTATCATCCTTTTTGAGTTAATTTTTGCATAAACTGTAAGATATCCAACAAATTAATTTTTTGCAAATGATGTCCAATTGTTCCAACGGGGTTTTTTGAAGAAACTATTCTCTTTATCCATTGAATTCTTCATCCTTCAATTGTTATCCATTATCAACTTGGCAAAGATCAACTTGCCATATATGCATGCATAGGTCTCCTTCTAAAACTACAATTCTAGTGGATCGATTTCTGTCTTTGTACTTTCCTTAATAACACACTTTCTTGATTACTGTAACTATACAGGAAATCTTGAATATAGGAAATCTTGAAATCAGGCAAAGCGAGTCATCCTTTTCTGACCTTTCCCAATATTTTTTTAGTTATTTCAATTCCTTTGCCCTTCCAAACATGGAATACACTTTTTGATATCTACTGAAAAAAATTCCTAGAATTTTTGGGAAGATCATACTAAGTCTATAAATCAATTTTGGGATAATGGAGACCACAACAATATTCAGGATTAAATTAGCTAGTATTTTGTTGAGGATTTTTGTGTCTATGTTCCTGAGATATGGTGGTTTGTAGTTTTCTAAGGTAGGTGTTTAAATAGAAAGGTGGAAGTATACTTGGGTTCACAATTTACATGGCTAATATAAGATACAGTTCTAGTCACTACTTTAGATTGAAAAATAACATACTAGATGCCAGTGCCCTGATTGTTTCCAGGAGAATATATTTTAAATGTTCACTGAAGTCTACTTCAAATCTGTAACAGTTTATGTAATATTGCCTCCCACCCTGCACCTAGCTATGGTCATGATGTCACTAGTATACTTTACATTCTCTCCATATTATTGTTGTTATTGAAGCGATAAATTTCTAAGGTTGAATGTGAATGCTTTGTTGGCCTTTTCTGCATGGTATTTCTTTATTCCTAGTTTTTGCTGAGTTATATCCTCAATTTACATTATCACAACTCCACTACTATGGTTGGAGTCAACTTTCCCACAACAAAATATTTTCTGCATATGACAACCCATCCAATGGAAAAGTCACTCTGACAGGAAATGTCATGAACCTGCATTTATAAAAAATATATTAGCTACTGAAGATAAATTTAATTTCTTTTAGAATCATAGATCAGTATTTTACTCAAAATGAGCATGCAAATAAGCTTCTATTAGTCAAATCAAGACCAGTATTGTTATACATGAGTGTTCAGAAAGGAACATATTCTCAGCTTTTGAAACTGAAATTAATCTCATTTTTAATATAAAAACAAGTTCAAATTTTTAGAGAAATATCCCATTGAAAATTTATCCTTTTATCTTCTCTGTATCTTAGCTCAAAGTTTTCATTTTCCACTTCTCCACATAAATGTGGCTTCTATAATCCAGCAATCAGCTTAATATGTTTGACAAAACTAAAATGATGGGAAAAAATGGAAAGAGCAGAAAGGAAAGGAAGAAATAGCTTGTGTACTATTACACAATCATGTGTTTTCTTTTAATTTATAATTTCCTCTTTTGCACACATTCTTCTGGGAGAAATGACAAGCTTTTTTTCTCTAGAAAACAAGTTAAAAAGCAGATATACATAAAAGGAAAAACTTGTACAGAGTAGACTGTGGCTTGAGAACTATTTATGCAGCATCAGAAGACTAAACCAGACTAGCCTGGCCATAAACTAAACCTACGCCCCAAATGAGGTGCCAAGCCACAAAATGCATTTGCGTCATCTGGGAATACAAGGGAAAATAGGACTTCTAATTATAGGGCCTGGAAGCGGAAGCCTAGAGTGATTAGCTGTTTAGGCGCTGTTGTATGTTTATCTGGAAGCTTCCTCTCCCTCACTCTCAGCCTCAAGTTTGATAGATGAGCGTTAGCATTAGAGGGTGGGAAAGGAGCTGCCGATGGTACATGGTGTTCTCCAAAATCTGAGACTAGAGACTGAACATTAAGGCTTTTGTGGCCTTATAAGAACATAAGTCTCTTCAACTGGGCGTCAGCTGGTTAGCCCAAAAGACAAAATTAAAGAGCAGCAAACCTCCACTGGGCATATGCTATAAAATCATGGAAACATGAGTAGATATGTCTTTTTGCCATATCCTATTTATAACACCTACCTAATTGTATGTTTCTTTATCACATGCACATATATGAAGTGGAAGACAAATTACCAGCTATTCACGCTCTTCCAAAAACAGACAAGAACACTGATATTCTGGGTCAAATCAAAATCTTTACAGAAATTTCAATTATCATTCATAAAATAATTTTGTTTTGGTATTAATTCTTGTGAATTTAACACATTCCCATCAATACCTGTACAGATGCATACTTATATTTCATTATTTTTATCATTATCAGTCAAATATATACATATAAAAGCAAAGAATCAGAATCCTACTACTAATAAAAATCTGTTAGGTTTGCAAATTACATAAAAACCACAACAATATCAGAGTCTATTAAAAAAACTCTATCAGAGTCTGTTTTAAAAAAACTTTAAACCAAATATGAATACCTGAAAGCAATGGCCTCAGTTGCTACGGCAGCATCAATGTTAGCCCATTTCTTAATGTGCTTAATGATGGGGATAATCAAACTTTACATTGCATTCTTCCATATTTGTGGCCCAGGATATATATTAAGACTTTCTTGACTTTATGCTCGGTAACACCATTAAAGGCGATGATGTAAGCCCTATCCATGAACAAAGGATATGATTTATCTGATTCCCCCCAAAGTTGCACATAACCAGAACCAAGATATGCTTATTTATTTTTATTGTTGTTCAAGTACAATTGTCTCCATTTTCTCCACACCACTCCCTCACCCACTCCAGCCATCCCCAACTCCCACCCTTGACGCTACCCCGCTTTGGCTTAGTGCATTTGTCCCTTATATGTGTTCCTTGATACCAACATATGTTAGAGTAAAAAAATCTCTGACATGGCTGTTATTCATGTTCCATGAGGAAAAGTCTAAACTCAACAATTTTCTTTTTTCCTTAATGTATTTTATTAATTATGCTATTACAGTTGTCCCATTTTTTTTCTCCCCTTTCTTCCCTTCTGCCCTGTACCCTCTCCCACCATTACTCCCATCCCCTACCTTAGTTCATGTCCATGGGTCATACATATAAGCTCTTTGGCTTCAACATTTCCCATACTATTCTTAACCTCCCCCTGTCTATTTATGTAACTTTCCCCTCATTCTCCCCCCTTCCCCTCTCCACTGATAACATCCCTGCCATCCCTATTTCTGTGAATCTGTTCCTGTTCTAGTTGTTTGCTTAGTTCATTTTTGTTTTTGAATTTTTAGGTTTGGTTGTTGATAACTGTGAGTTTGTTGTCATTTTACAGTTCATACCTTTGATCATCTTTTTCTTAGATAAGTCCCTTTAACATTTCATATAATAAGGGCTTGGTGATGATGAACTCCTTTAACTTGACCTTATCTGAGAAGAACTTCATCTGTCCTTCTATTACAAATGATAGCTTTGATGGATAGAGTAATCTTGGATGTAGGTCTTTGCCTTTCATGACTTCAAATACTTCTTTCCAACCACTTCTTACCTGTACAGATTTTTCTGAGAAATCAGCTGACAGTCTTAAGAGAACTGCTTTGTAGGTAATTCTCTCCTTCCCTCTTGCTGCTTTTAAGATTCTCTCCTTACCTTTAATCTTGGGTAACTTAAAGATGATGTGCCTTGTGTGTTCCTCTTTGGGTCCAGCTTCTTTGGGACTCTCTGAGCTTCCTGGACTTCCTGGAAGTCTATTTCTTTTGCCAGACTGGGGAAGTTCTCATTCATTGCTTTTCAAGTAAGTCTTCAATTTCTTGTTCTTCCTCTTCTCCTTCTGGCACCCCTTGATTCGGATGTTGGAACATTTAAAGTTCTCCTGGAGGTTCCTAAGCCTCTACTCATGTTTTTGAATTATTGTTTCTTCATTCTGTTCTAGTAGAATGTTTATTTCTTCCTTTTGCTCCAAACTGTTGGTTTGAGTTCCAGTTTCCTTCCCTTCACTGTTGGTTCCCTGTACATTTTCCTTTATTTGGCTTTTCACCGTATTCACTTTTTCTTCTATTTTACGACCATACTCACCCATTTCTGTGAGCATCCTGATTGCTAGTGGTTTGAACTCTGCATCTGATAGGCTAGCTATCTCTTGATCACTTAGTTGTATTTTCTTCTGGAGCTCTGATCTGTTCTTTCATCTGGGCCATATTTTTTTTGTCTCAGCAGGCTTCTTATACAGTAAGGGGTGAGCCTTAGGTATTTGCCAGGGCAAGGCAACCCTGTGTCGTGGTGCTGTATGTGGGGGAGGGGTCCAAGAGGGAACAATGTCATTTACTCAGCTCTCAGATGGCTTTCAGTCACTTCCCCCACTACTCACAA